GAATGCACGAGGGTTTATCTTCAGATGAAGAATTGTCGGATACTTGTTCCGCTATTGCATCGGACGATACTGCATCCAGTGTTGGACGAGCCAGAGAATCATTCGCGATCACGCCGGATCAACTAGCTCAAATGCTGCAAGAAGCGTTGGCTAAACAACGCGAAGAAATTAGAGCTGAGTTCAAAACCGAAATGGAGTTGACTATGCAGCAGATGCGAGATTTGCAGGTGCAGCAACACCAACCGGAGTCGAGCCAGAAGGCGGAATCCAGCCGGCGTAATGAAGAGGATGAGACAATATTTGAAGATCCTCCTCCAGATAAAGACAACTCCGGAAGCGATCCGACCAAGTCAGCCACTCAACCTCCACAGATCTATTTGAAGAAAAGCGAGGAAGAGGACAAGAAGATGCACGATCTTGAGAGCAAAGTCAACGCTTTGATGACGGCTCAAGAAGTGAAGAAAACGGGCATCCCATACCCGTACCCGAGGGAGTGGGACCTGATTCCTTATCCCCAGAAATTTAATTTGATTAACTTTACTCCTTTTGATGGCAGGGGTTCACCAACTCAGCACTTGATCTATTTCAAGTCGCATCTCGGCGCAATATCTGGGAACGAAGCCCTGATGGTCCGGTCATTCGTAGGAACCCTTCGCGGGCCTGCCTTCGGGGGGCTGGTTGAGGACACCCCTAGGGGGGTGTCTCGGCTCCAAAACCGAGACACCCCTTGGGGGTGTCTCGGCCATGGCCGAGACACCCCAAGGGGTGTCTCGGTTTTGGAGCCGAGACACCCCCCTAGGGGGTGTCCTCAACCAGCCCCTACCCCCCCTTTGTTTTCCTATAAATAGGCCCCTAGGGCCTCCATTCTCTTGGCCTTGGTTTTGGGAGAGGAATTTCAGATCTAGAGCTCTAGCCTTTGAGATCTGAAATTCCAGAGAGGAGCGGCGAAGCCCTGCCGGAGGAAGGAGTCGGGGTTTTCTAAGAGAGCGGCGAAGCCCTGCCGGATCGAGGAGTGAGCGAGCCTTCTGCAGCAAAGGAGTCTTCTTCTTCATTCCCCACCTTCTTTTCCCTTAGTGTTGCCCTTAGCGGTGATACAAAGGAGAGCTAGTGCCTCGTTTTAGCCGAGACATAAGCTTTACACCTCTGAGATCCCACGCGGATCGACGGGGTTCAGAGTTTCTAAAATCCCCCCGCGGATAGACGAAACTCTGCCCGATTTTCTCGGACCAGATCTGAGTGCCCCGGTGGTCCACGGATATCAACATCCCCGTCACAGGCAAAAGACCCACGCAAGCAAGAGATGACAAACAGATCTTGCGTTTGTTTGAAAAGAGTTGTATTTCTTTTGTTTTCATTGTGTACCGGTCTTATAAAAAGGCTATCTTTTTATTTCATTGTAACGATTGAAGTTGTAATGAATGCAGCAATGAATACAGCAACTTTTTCCGCAAACAAGCTGGCGACCACAGTGGGAGCCAACGGCATCGCAACCGACGCCGTCGTGACGCAACCAGCACTCAAGATCGGGGTGAATGAAGAACACGAGCTCGATCAACAACGGTTCAAAGAAGGCCTCTCTTCCTCCTCCTCCAGATCCGCCTCTCCAAACGGGTACAGAAAGGTAACCTCTTTCATAAATGATTGCAGGTCCTTCGGTTCAAAAATCCAAGACCCCGTTGCCGCCTCTGCACTTGCACCACGCGACGTCCCCACGTCGTCCAACCTGGTCGAGATCGCAGATCCGGATTCCTCTTCCGCCGAGGAGATGACTTCTGAAGACGCTCCGGCATTATCAAAGAGAGCACGACAAAGACAGCGTCAACGTCTTGCTCGACAGCTGGCCGAGGCTTTGGAGCCGATGGATGGGATCCGCTATAACGTAGATCTAAAATCCAGGCAACGCCAGGAGCAACCACGGCAAACAACCAGCCCCTCCTCCGAAGCAGAAACAAACAAATGGGTTCATGTCAAAAGAACCCGTTCTACTCTCGAGGAGCGAATCCAGAAGCGCCGCGCCTTGCGTGCGCATGCCCGAGCCCTGGTCCAAAAAGCACGAGAAATGCTAAAGGGAGAGGCCGTTAAGAGATCGCCGAGGTCCGAACGAGTTTGGATGCCAAAGGCCGAATCAACGCCTAAGGTAAAAGCAGGTAATATTGCTCTCCAACCTTCGTCAATTTCAGGTCCCGAACCTTCGGTAAAGCCCCACCGCAGCGTGGATTTCCCCAAGTTGAAGAATCCTCTGAACAACCGTATCGACGCTCTACCCGAGAATCGAGGAAAAGCGCTTGTCAAGGAAAGCTGGGGATCGTTGAAGGAGCCTCGAGCCAACATCCGGACTGGGGGTCGTACACGATCTCCTAACAAATCGATCTCTGCAACAACCAGCTCGGCGGTGCGTGCAAAGGACCAAGAGCCCGTTAAGGTTTCACCCTCACAAAGGAGTGATTCCAAACGTGCGACTCTTGCAGAGGCCAACAAGGCAATGTCTACTCAGAAGAAGACGCGTCGTACAAACGAACGCGTTATACCTGAGAACCCATGTGAGCAGCCGATAGGTTACTCCGACGGCAACGTCGATGAGTTGTACTATCAGGCTGGGGGTGCGAATGAATCTCGAAAGAGAAACAACCGGGAAGCGGATCCTCACTGTCCGTGTACCAAAATTATCAGGGCAGTATTATCAACCTGTAGCTGCCCCAAGACCGCTCCACAGAGGGTCTCGATATTCGAGGGAATCTCCGATGGACCGACAAAGCCCAAATCAAGGCGTTCCCACCAAAGAGGATCGATTGCTCGAAATGATGAACCCCTAGAAGTGACTATCAACATGGTCAACAAAGGAAAATCCCCAATCATTTCAAGTGATTCCGACCCTAATTCCTCTCCAGGAAGCAGGGTCAATTCAGGAACAGCTCAGCTTCAGCTAGAAGCCGACAGATATAACAACAATCGTGGGATCCATGAAGGAGTCCTTTCCGATGATGAATCCTCAGATTCCCATTCCGCGCCGCTTCTGACGAGACAACCTCTAGCATAGGACAAGCTCGAGAGGTGCTCATGGTCAATACAGATCAGATAGCCAAAATCATTGAAGAGGCCCTGACTAAGCAGAAGGAAATCTTCAAGTTTGAAATGGAAGTGGCTATGCAAGAGATGAGACAAATGCACGATCAACGAATCCGGGCTTTGTCAAACCAACTAGTTGAGTCCAATCGTCGCACCCAGAACGCCGCAGACAACAGCGATCCAGAGGTGGTCGAAATCGTCATGGCCGACGCATCGCCCAAGAATACTGGGGGTGGCCCCACTAAAAATAACAAGGGTGCCAACGAATGACCGGACCATTAAAGCCTCGTTTCCAGAGATCATGCCCAAATGAGACTTGAAATAAATCAAGTGCTGAATAGGCGAGCTGTTCCCGTCAAACGGTGTGAAGTTAATCAGATTGAATTTTGTCGGGTACGGTATTGAATCCCATTCTCTCGGATAGGGATATGGAATACCCGTCTTTTTCACTTCTTGAGCCATCATCAAAGCGTTGATTTTGTTTTCAAGCTCTTTTATTTTCTCGTCATCGTCTATGTCTTCATTCGAAGGACGTTGAGGAGAATGAGTTAGACCCCCCCTGTAAGACGGAAAAAGCCAAACTGAGACACCCCGTGGTGTCTTGGCTTGGCCAAGACACTTATAAGTGTCTTGGCCAAGCCAAGACACCACGGGGTGTCTCAGTTTGGCTTTTTCCGGTTTTGGTTCGTCGAGTTTGTTTCTACCGTAAATTCGTCATCCGGACTCAGAATTACGTGGTTCAATATGCGTTGGAAAGCCGACGAGGAGATCTACAGGCTCCCATGATTGAATTACATGCGGAGTAAATAGGACGCGAGGGGTGCTCCGCCTTTTGTAAACGACGCGGGGCTCCCGATCAGGTCTTATTCCCGTTATTCCGAAGTATCGTTGCTTCGTATGGTTCGTCGACTCACTTCATGTGTTCGTC